GCTTCTTCCCAACCTCCATCCACCCAGTGTGTCCCACTTCCACATTCTGGTTATAACTTTCTTTTTTCTCCTTCTCCATTGGGATTAGGGGACCCAACCGTGTTTCTGATTTCTGAAACTTGGCTTAATTTATAGCACAAATATGTGGGAGAAATGAAAGTTGTACTGCTTTTTTGTTAGAGATGCAGATTGTGTCTTGAAGATTATTATATATGCAAATTATGCCCTATCCTCCCCTTCTTCCAAGTTTCCCCACAAAAAGGTCAGTGAGGCTTCCCATTGGAAGTAAAGAGCAGAGTTGGCCTACAGAGACCCTGGGGCTATAATGTGAAGGGGAGGAGACTGAATTTCATGTCTTAGCTGTATTCTGTTAATAAAATGGGAGTTTGTGGGTTTTAAAAAATTCTGTTTCTAAATGGAGGAATAGATGACTTTATTTTGGTGGGGGTTGGGACTCGTGGCTTTAAAAAAATCGCTTTTGAGTAGGATGTATATTTTTGTTGGATTTTGTTTGTTTGTTTATTTTTTTAGAATCCTCCACAGCAACATGTGAGACCATGGAGTTAAACCCAGAGATCTTTATCAATTAATTGTACTGTTTGTGAATTTGTATAAATAATAACAAAGATCCTCTTAAAACGTTTATATTCTTACAGTAAAAGGTTAAACTGATATTTATATAATAAAAGAGGAAATATGAAGTATGTTTTTGAAAAAAAAAAAAGCACAAAAAACCTTGTATCTGTGAATTATTTTTAAAGCATTCTGTGTTTGGATACAGGCCAAAGTAGGAGTGCTGTTTGTACACTCTACAGTAAAGGAAATATAAGGTATAGAGTTCAACGCATCCTATGTGATGTAGGCTCATAGTTAAATATTTCTTCTGTGTAAGGTTTACTACTGACACGCTGATGTTCTGTTTCTAGAAATGTGACTAGCTGGAGATTTATATAATTTTTGGTTTTAAACTGTCAACCTGGAAATTTAAAGAAACTGAGCAAAATGAAACTTTTTTAAAAAACCAGACTTGTAAGAGTCACAATTTCCCCTGAGTGGCCAGTTTTTCTTCGGGTGGAAATGAGATCTAGGGGTAATACTGGAAAAAAAATGGGTCATGAGATAAAGAAGTGGGTGAGAGGGATTGGTGTCTGTACCCTTAGAGGGGTGTGGGAAGGAGGTGAAGGGTGGAAGGAGCTGAAGTCATTGTTCAGAAAAGTTAAAAGAGTGCTGTCCTTGCTAGCTGGCTCACGCAGTCATGCATACTGAATCTCACAGTATGAGAGTGTCCCAGTGGGAAGGAGGCAGTTCTACCCCTCTTTTTAAAATTCCCCTCCAGGCCTGGCTGTATTGAAGTACTTTCCTGGGGGCTGGGGAGGTTGGCCAGTTCTTGTACATTTGCATTTTAAGCACTTCCAACAAGGCTGGCCACTCCAGCCAGTCCGTTGAGAGTTTAGACTGAATTCAGGGAAGATAAATGAAAACCAACAATTCTAGCAAAGACTTCCCTTTGGTAGACAATAACTCAATAATCTGATACCCTATAGTTGTGGAAACCTTGGAGTATAAATGCTCTAACAGTAGTGTATTCATATTCCTGGTTTCACATAGTTCTGTCTTAGCTGTTTCTGAGGTCACTTTTTTAACAACAACAACAAAAAAAAACCTGATCTCTGCAAGAGCTGATAAAGTAATATAAAACCTATCTGGATCAATCTCCCTTTCTAGGAAGAGGGTTTCTCTTGGGGTAAGATTGTTTTGTAAAATTTCCAAGTTTTCAGCTTGAGCATGTCACAAAAGCTGCATTGTTCCTTTTTGGAGAGCCACCACAATTGGATCTAATTGAGCCTGACACTAGATCCATCTTCCTTTTCTGTGGGTAAGGTGTGGTCCTCTTACTTCCAGTTTAGGTTACAGTGCTTATTGCCTAAAGAAAAAAAATGTGTGAACCCTAGTAAGAAATAGGGACTATCAATTAGGGTCAGCTTCCTAATTTATCATTTGATATAACTCAAAGTTTACACATGGTATAGGTTCCCATTATGTTTTTCTTCCATGAGACTGCATAGCTGTACAGATAAAACCTATAAAAATGTGAGCACCTCCTAAATCACACACTGCTCACATTCTTCATTATAATATACAATAATTATAATATACTTCCATAATCTGAAACATTTTTATTTCATGTTTATATGAAAGGCTGTAAGTTTCACTAAAGATTGATAGATTGATGTTTGAAGGTCAAGATTACGGGTCTAGGGCCAGGGATTTGGCCCAGTGGTTCTGCTGCCTGCCTAGCAAGTGCAAGGTCCTGAGTTTGATCCCTGGTACCAAAAAAAAAAAAAGATTACGGGTCTAGTGTCCTTGTCCTGAACTAAGCATACTTAATTTATCTGCAGCATCTCTGGAAATGATGAATAAACCACTTCCTATGGTCAGCAGAAGTCAACTGCTTATCTCTCAACCTTTTGGACAGAAAGTAATATGTTGAGAATGTATGTGGGCTTTGCACAGTATTTGTGAATTTTAGTCCTCAAAGTTACCTGCTGAAATAGGTCTACCTGTTTTCCAGATAAGGTATAATTCCTGCCTTAAGTTACCCAAGCATTAAGGGAAGGATCCAAGATCTGAATCAGGTTCACTTCTAAAGTCCAGTTTTCTGCTCAGAGAAGGTTCAGTTACTGATCAGGCCCCATGAGGTGACCCTTGAAGTGAGTGGGACCGGAGTGACCACAACATAGACAGTCTTGTGCAACACACACTACTTGCAAAGAAGATAAAGGTGAATTCGGGGTGCAGGAAGGGTTGACCCCAACCAAACCTAAAGGACAGAAATGGAAAAGGTGGAGTGGAGCTTTAAGAAACAAGCCCTAAAGAAAGTTGCTGTACATTTCGTGAGTGACCCAACAGTTAAAAGGCATTTCAAAGCAATTTTTAGAAAACAAAAAAATGTGGTTCAGGTATTTGCTAAATCTTAAGCACTGAAGAGAATTATAAATTGTGTGAACCTTTTATCTACCAGTAATAAAACTTAATAGGAAGAGCCTCATGGGTCTTTTTTTCTAAGTTCCATCAGGCAGTAGACTTCATGTCAGTAGTGAAGAGAGACTATAAATGCAACTATGGGGTCATGACGAGCCTCTAGCTAAGAGCGCCGGATGTTGTTGCGTAATTTGCCCAGCCATGGACTCCTTCCCATGAATTCCTCAGTCCTAACTGGTGGGAAGAGAGGGTGAAGCCCACTTGATTTATCCCACATTTGGCCACAGGGACTAGGATGCTTGCCTAACTTAAACCAAAGGCTGGTACCAGGACAACCTTAAATCCTGAAGAAAACTTAAACAGATCTTTTTTTCATTATTTAAATCAATAACAAACATCTGAAGAGAGTAAATTTTCCTTTTGTTAGAGTTTCTTTTTAAAGGTAAGAACTTTCTGTAAAATAAGGACATACAGGATGTAAGTGCAGCATGGCCTGTCTGCCTGGTGCCCTCCTCCACTGGTTACCAGATAGATGCCGGTCTCGGCATTTAAAATCTTTCACTTTTTGAATTTGAACTGGAGGTTTTTCAAAGGGGAAGGGGTTGTGGCCCCCAGGGAATAGTGTGTTTCCAAAGAGTAAGAGCCTCTTGATTAAAAGATCAGATTTGTAAAACAAAACCAATACCTCATGCAGCTTCTGACAACTGTCTCTTCCCATTCCTGTGAAAGGGAAAGTGCCTGGCCTCTGATCTCTGCTCTGTTCTGCTGGGGGAAAGGGAGGGACTAGATTAAGTCATCTAGTGGACCCTTCTCTCTGTTCTTTCTTTTGCACGCATCAAACATCACCCCATTCAAAAGTTAATTCCATCCCTTTAGTAGGGGGCAAGACCTAAATTTTGTGTCATTATGATCCCCTGAAGAGCCAAAAGGGTGAAGCTTTTTGATGAAGTAACATGGATCATGAGGAAAGCACAGGATTAGAAATTAGGATGCTGCATTCAAACTTAAATTCATGCCTGGGCCACAAAGTTATCTCATTCTTGTCAACATACTTGGTTCCAATATTAAGTAGCAAGTTAAATTTTTAAAGAAAGTAATATAAAACAGATGAGATCTTCCTATTTAGATGAGCACTGAGTCATATCACTAATCAAAGGTAAGCGTACTGCAGGATAGGAGCATATATTCTGCGTCTCGGATGTAAAGGTGTTTCTAGACAATCAGTATTTTTAAATATCCACAGATGATCATTTTCAGTCTTTTCCT